TTAGCCCCCAAAATCACGATTTTGACCTTAGTGCCGAAAATCGATTTTTTTTTTTCATTTCTTGGATTTTGTTTTCTCCCTATTTCTGTTGTGGAAAATCGCAATAGCGCAACATCTGAAATTTCCGTTTTCGTTTTTCTTCTGAAAATTCGAAATTTCATTGTTGAAAATCCGGAATATCTTTCTTTTCAAAAATTTCGATTTCCTGTTGCATTTCCCATTATTTGGAAATTCAGAATATTTTTCGAAATTCGTTTTTCTGAAAATGGTACGGGAATTCCCTCTTGCAGTACCATTTTTCAAACTGCAAATACTCTCATCTGAGTAAGTCCAAATACTTGTCATTTGTTTTCAGAATTTTTTTTCGGAGTTCTAGGATTCTGTTAGTCACAGTTCTATAATCATTTGCAGTCTGAAGTTTGAAACTTTTCTCATTGATAGTTTCGCACTTCAAAGGAGGTTGAACTTGCAAAACTCGAGATTTTGTTTTTTTTTTCTCGAATTTTTTTTTGTTGCAAAGTTCAAACTTTTCTTTTTTGATTAGTGGCTCCTTATTTGGGAGATTCTTCCCACCCACCCTCCCCACCTATGTTGTTGCCCCCTCTGGCCTTACCTTCTCTATCTATCTCCGGGTACCCCCTGCGACGGCATTGGTGAGTTGCCACATCAGCAGGCCACGTCAGCATCCTACATCAGCAGGCCACATCAGCAGACTACGTCAGCAGGCCATGTCAGCAGACTACGTCAGCAGGACACGTCAGCAGGCCATGTCAGCCGACAGGAGTGCCATGTCAGCAGCAGGGAATACCACGTCTGCAGGCCCCCGGCCTGGTCTATGCTGTTGCGTTCACATACAGCCGTCATGGATCAGAGGTCCGGAGAAACAGACGAGGTGTTACATGCCCAGTTGGGCGATGTACATAATAACCGAGGATCCGTAATGTGATAAAAAGGACTGAATGGACAATGCAGTGCAAGTAGAATCTCAACAAGCAATGTGCATTCCGATACATACAAAATGGTGCTTTTATAGCGCAGGGAAGACTTTAGATACAAGTCATGACCTAACCTCATTCACGTAGCACAAGATAGCGAAGCAGAATGTTAGAATGCAAATGACTAGCCCAATCAATGTTTAAACGCAGACCAAACATGCATCATGTCACAAGGTGTGAAGGAGCCTGACGAAAGAGGCGCCAGGTCCAGACATACACAGACGAAGAGGAGGGGATCAGACGAAGAAGAGGAAGGGGGAGATGGGAAACTCGTCAACACCAAGTCTCGTTTCAAGTCCTAAATAATCCCTCTTTGATATGTCTGAAGTCCACTGTCAAGTCTGAATCCAAATATCACCAAGCTCTCTCTCTCTCTCTCTCTCTCTCTCTCTCTCTCTCTCTCTCAGTCTGCTGATGCAGTTGACTGAGAAGAGGAAGAAGAAAAACTCTCTCTCATATGTCAGGTACTAACCTGTGAGGATGGCGCTGTGCTGCAGGTACCTCGAAGACGAAGCTGGAGCAACGGCGCTGCAGGTAAGTATCCCTGGCCTCTGCCCAATCTCTCTCTCTCTAGTACTACTCTAGCTATGGCGCCCAGCGTTGAAGACTACTGCTAACGCTACAAAGCGCGCAACGCTGAAGACTATTCTAGCGCTAATACTACTCTTGCAGCGCTCCTCCAGAGTGCTGCTGCCGAATCCTGAAGACTACCTTCTGCCTCCTGAACTGCACGTGAAGTGCCTGGGAAGTACCTATGAACTACCTCACCACTACCTGCTGCCTGCAAGGCGGGCCAATCTTATATAGTGCTGGCCCGTCCAGGAGGGTGCTGCTCTTGCCAATGCCAAAACGTGCCAGACCGTGGGGTTGAAGCTCAAACAAAGGTTGTATTGAAAATAGGCCAAAAATGGCCTGAGCTAAAACCTTGGTCTGGTGCCTAAGTTTCAGGGCAGGTCAAACTGACGAGGGCCTGAAAATGGCCCTCGGTTTCAGGCTGAAAATACTCCAGGTTGGAAAGGTTCTGATTTAGCCTGATACAACACAGGGCCTGTAGGCCCTCGTTTTCAGGCTTTCAGGCTGAAATGACACGGGGTCTGTAGGCCCTTGTTTTCAGGCTTTCAGGCTGAAACTGACACGGGTCCTGTAGGCCCTTGTTTTCAGGCTTTCAGGCTGAAACTGACACGGGGCCTGTAGGCCCTTGTTTTCCGGTTTTCAGGCTGAAACTGACACGGGGCCTGTAGGCCCGGGGTTTGTAGGCCCTCGTTTTCAGGCTTTCAGGCTGAAAATGACACGGGGCCTGTAGGCCCTTGTTTTCAAGCTTTCAGGCTGAAACTGACACGGGGCTTGTAGGCCCTTGTTTTCTGGCTTTCAGGCTGAAACTGACACGGGGCCTGTAGGCCTTTGTTTTCAGGCTTTTGGCCTGAAAACGACACGGGGTCTGTAGGCCCTCGTTTTCAGGCTTCCAGGCTGAAAATGACACGGGCCTGAAAATGGCCCGTGCTGCAGCCTGTTGCAGGCGCAGCATGTAACCCCCCCCCCTCCTTATGAAGTCAAGCCGGGGCGAGGGTGAAGCTGACGATCTGACGGTGGAACGTGGATGCGGGTGTGGCGTGGAGCCGAAGATTTCGGCTTGCCTTGCATCTTGCGTTCGTAGCATGCGAGAACATCCGGAGCTGTTGCTTGGAGTTCCGCACGGGTTAACCAACGGTCAGCTCGGTGACTGCAGTACGCAAAATGTACCAAGTACTCGGTTGGCCTGTTGCCATTTACAATCCACTCAAAATGCTCGTACCGTGTCTTGAACGCGGATTTGTAGCAATCTTGTGGGCTTATCGAGATTTGATGGTAGCCCGACTTCAAGTCTAACTTTGAGAAGAATTTCGCGCCGCCCAAACGCTCTAGAAGGTCGTCAATCTGAGGAAGAGGTCCCGCATTCTTGGCGGTTTGTGCTCTGAGCTTGCGGTAGTCTATGCAGAAGCGAAGATCCTTGTTCGTCTTCCGTACGAAGAGAACTGGCGCACTGTATGGTGAGTTACTAGGGCGGATCCAGCCCTTGTCCAAAAGATCGTCGAGTTGAGCACGGAGAATCTCGAGCTCTACCTCGCTCATGCGATAGATGCATCCTTTTCGGCGGCACGGCACCGGCCTCAAGAATGATCTCATGGGAAATCGGCCGATCCGGCACCACACTGCTCGGAGACTCGAAGATGTTGGTGAAGTCGTCGAGCAGCCGGACCCTCGGGGGTCCGAAGACAAGTCCGTAGGTGAAGATTTGGTCGTCGTGGCGGCTCGTAGAAAACATAGGCCTATCTCGTCGGTCCATTCGTAAGCGCAAGTGGCCTGAAAAGACTTGGCCATTACAACTTGGCACCGGATCGAGGAGTGCGGAAGAGGAATGGTACACGGCACGTTAGTGCCGAAGGCGTCGCGAATGGTAAGTGTCCACTGATGGAAGTTAACCGTGTGATCCGCACTTGCAAGCCAAGGCATCCCCAAAATAATGTTGAAGTCCATGTCTAAGACATCAAACGTCACCGGTTCGCATGCGTGAGGTGCGAAATAAACCGGCACAGCTTCAATGTAGCGATCGAGGACTTGTTGCATTCGACCGTTCGCCAACTTGATCGCCGTCGGACTTAGCTTCCTTCGAACTTGAGTGCCAAGGCCGGCCCTTTGGGTAAAGGACTGACTGATGAAATTGAGGATCGCACCGCTATCCAGCAAAGCGTTGCAGGACGCTTGCCCAACTTGGATGCAGACATAAAGGAGCGGTGCGTTGTTATCATCGTACCGCTGCATGCGAAACTCACGGGCCACCTTGGTAACATACGCAAGGATGTCCCCCACCGTAGCTTCGTCATCCGCCGACGAAGATGGTGGTGCACAGAAGGCTAAGTATATGTGGAGATGGGCGCATAGTGTTGCGCATTGCGGTCACGACAAGCAGCATGTGGAAGGGAGAGGGAGCCATGCAAAATCCTCAGACGTCTACGGGTCCAAGACCTCTATGTTGAACTCGTGCGTCGAATCCTTTGAAGAGCCAGTTGAAGACGATCTATTGTTGCTGTTACCGGACTGAGAAGAAGCCGCACATACATCTTGTCCTTGAGCTTGAGAACCCAGCGAAGGAACGAGTCGGGCAACATAGTCCTCATAAAAATACAAGAGAGGACTGTGGACTCCCGCATGTGCCTCGGAATGAAGAGAGGTCGCTCGCGAAGCAACCAATTCCGAAGGCGTCGAGAGTGCAGCCACATTACTCTCGGCGGTGCTCACTTTCCCGAAGGGGATTTGGCTTGGACCGGCGTGGGGCATGTTGTGGTGTCGTCTATCGCGCTGTTGCACCACAAGCAGTATCGGTACTTAGAACGGATGCGGTACACGCCTTCCGAGATACCGTATTGTGTCCAAGGCTCTCGAACCGCTGGTCCGGCCCCGGGGGCTGAATTGGTGTGTGTTTTCGGTTTGCCGCGTCCTCGCCCTCTGGCGGGGCGGCCACCATCCCGGGCGGCTGCCAATTTGTCTCCTTCCTCAGAAGAGGCAGCCTCGTTTGAAGCGTCGGTCGTTGTAGTTGGTGCGACCACGACCATTTTTGGTCGATGCTATCCTCTGCCCTGGCCTGTAGCAGACGAATGGTCCAAATTCTTGGCTTCGATGTTTGTCATGATGATCTGTGAGGCCTTACCAAAAAGCTGCTCACTTTTGGTGAGCGTCTCCGCAACTTGCGTCAAGGCGTTCTGCAACGCCGGACAGCTCCTCCTGATGAAAAAATGCTTGATAGCGACAAATGTCGACCGCGCGTGGATGCCAAGCGTTGGTACTCAGTGATCCAGTCCGTGCTTGGCAGGTCGTTCTGATAGAACCGTTGACGTTTCTCGGCTGCCTGAAGCTCGAGCGGCTCCACTTGGAACCGCTTATGCCATGCTGCCTTGAGATCAGCCCAACTGATCTTCGTATGCAGCTCGGAGACTGCGACGTTGTGCATGGACAACATGTTGTCCAACCATGCTTGGCTTGCGCCTCTCGAGCGGGAGTATAAGTATGCGTGCCGGTTCGGGTTGATGACGTGGTGAATGTCCAACTTCAGCTCAAACTGGCGCCACCATGGAATCGGGTCCGTCTTCGTAGCATCGTAGAAGATCGGGACGCCGTCAAACTTCGGGATGCTCTCGCGATTAGTCGCGATTGGACTGGCTGCGGCGGCGCAAATCTGCTGGTCAGGTCAATCCGCTGATATGTTGTTAGAGCGCCGTCCTTGAGAGTCTTGACGTCGATTTCCAAAACGTTGACGCGGTTCGTCAAGTTGAAGGGTCCGGCGGGGGTGACTGATGCAAGCTGCTGTTCCACCTGACGTACCCGGTCAAGCAGCTCATCAATAACTCGAATCTGCTTTCGGACCAAGGTGTCCACGCAGAGGATGTCCTCTTGCTGTACTGCACAGGTGGCGACCAAGTCGCTCACATGTTCGCTTGTGGTTGCAAGGCCACGCACAGCAGAGGGGGCACCCTCCTCTTCAGCAGCCACTGCCCATTTGTCGGCAAACACCTCGATATCCCCCTCGCATTCAAGGAGTTTGTCTCGGCGTAGTCGACGGCGTTCGTCTGCGACCTTCCTTGCTGCCTCAGTGTCCGCCTGTCGCTGCTGTTCAGCGAGGCGACCCTGTTCCTCTGCTTCCTCATCTTCCTTCTTACGTGCAGATGTTACCGCAACTGCCCGTTGCTTGTACTTTGCTACCATGTCCAGCATGCGGGCTTCATAGGCCTCAGTAGTCTCGCCTGGCTGCTGCTCCATGCCGCTTGTATTTGAGCGGGTGAGCACCATGCACTGACGTGACCTGTTGCCGTGTGACTGGTTGCTGATGTGGCACGTCTGCCGTGGCAACTTACCAATGTCGCCGCACCAAGTCGCTCACATGTTTGCTTGTGGTTGCAAGGTCACGCACATGAGAGGCGGCACCCTCCTCTTCAGCAGCCACTGCCCATTTGCCGGCAATTACCTCGATATCCCCCTCGCATTCGAGGAGTTTGTCTCGGCGTAGTCGACGGCATTCGTCTGCGGCCTTTCTTGCTGCCTCAGTGTCCGCCTGTCGCTGCTGTTCAGCGAGGCGACGCTGTTCCTCTGCTTCCTCATCGTCCTTCTTACGTGCAGATGTTGCCGCAGCTGCCCGTTGCTTGTACTTTGCTACCATGTCCAACATGCGGGCCTCATAGACCTCAGTAGTCTCGCCTGGCTGCTGCTCCATGCCGCTTGTCTATGAGCGGGTGAGCACCATGCACTGACGTGACCAGTTGATGTGTGACTGGTTGCTGATGTGGCACGGCTGCCGTGGCAACTTACCAATGCCGCCGCAGGGGGTACCCGGAGTTAGATAGAGAGGACCAGAGGGGGCAACAACATAGGTGGGGAGGGGTGGATGGGATGAATCGCCGAAATAAGGAGCCACTAATCACAAAAAGAAAAGTTTGAACTTTGCAAAAAAATTGAAGAAAAAAAAAAAAATACTCGTTTGCAAGTTCAGTAGGCCCCCCAATTCCCCTAAAGTGCGAAATTAAAAAAAAATCAAACTTTCAAACCGCAAATGATTTTCTGATAAAAGAATTATGAAAATGAAGTACAAAAAAAAAATCGGAATTACATAGATGAGAGTACGCGCAGTTGGAGAATGATAACTGCACGAAGGATTCTCGTACCGTTAAAAAAAAAAAACGGATTTCGGAATAAAAGTATTCCAAATTTTCCAAATAACGGGAAACTGCAAAATAAAATCGGATTTAAAGAAAAAGAAAATATTCTGGATTTTCAACAATGAAATTTTGAATTTCAGAAGAAGACGAAATCGGAAATTTTAGACGTTGCACTATTGCGATTTTCCACAACAGAAATAGTGAGAAAACAAAATCCAAGAAAAGGAAAAAAAAAAGATTTTCGGCAGTGAGGTCAAAAATTGTGCTTTTGGGGGTTAACTAGTGTGCTCTAATCAATCAATCAGGACTAATCAGCTACTCAGTCCCCTCACACGTGTCAAATCAGGTTGTCCTGATTCATGCGCGGTGGTCCGATACCAACTGTTACATGCCCAGTTGGGCGATGTACATAATAACCGAGGATCCCCAATGTGATAAAAAGGACTGAATGAACAATGTAGTGCAAGTAGAATCTCAACAAGCAATGTTCATTCCGATGCATACAAAATGGTGTTTTTATAGCGCATGGAAAACTTTAGATACAAGTCCTGACCTATCTGGGACTCACCTCATTCACGTAACACAAGATAGCGAAGCAGAATGCTAGAATGCAAATGACTAGCCCAATCAATGTTTAAACGCAGACTAAACATGCATCATGTCCATCACAAGGTGTGAAGGAGCCTGGCGCTATACACAGGAAAGAGGCGCCAGGTCTAGACATACACAGACGTAGAGGAGGGGATGAGACGAAGAAGAGGAAGGGGGAGATGGGAAAGTCGTCAACACCAAGTCTCGTTTCAAGTCCTAAATAATCCCTCTTTGATATGTCTAAAGTCCAATGTCGAGTCTGGATCCAAATGTCACCAAGCTCTCTCTCTCTCTCTCTCTCTCTCTCTCGCAGTCTGCTGATGCAGTGAAGTCAGGTAGCGGGAGGGTGAGAAGGAGGTGGTGGACTGAGAAGAGAAAGAAGAAGAACTCTCTCTCTTATGTGTCAGGTACTAACCTGTGAAGATGGCGTTGTGCTGCAGGTACCTCGAAGACGAAGCTGGAGCAACGACGCTGCATGTAAGTATCCTTGGCCTCCGCCCAATCTCTCTCTCTATAGTACTACTCTAGCTATGACGCCCAACGTTGAAGACTACTGCTAACGCTACAAAGCGCCCAACGCTGAAGCAGCTAGCGCTAATACTACTCCTGCAGCGCTCCTACAGAGTGCTGCTGCCGAACCCCTAAACTACCTCCTGCCTCCTGAACTGCACATGAAGTGCTTGGGAAGTACCTATGAACTACCTCACCACTACCTGCTGCCTGCAGGGCGGGCCAGTCTTATATAGTGCTGGCCCGACCTGGAGGCTGCTCTTGCCAATGCCAAAACGTACCAGACCCTGGGGTTGAAGCTCAAACAAAGGTTGTATTGAAAATAGGCCAAAAATGGCCTGAGCTAAAACCCTGGTCTGGTGCTTGAGTTTCAGGGCAGGTCGAACTGACGAGGGCCTGAAAATGACCCTCAGTTTCAGGCTGAAAATACTCAGGCCCGGAAAGGCCCTGATTTGGGCTGGCACGACACAGGGCTTGTAGGCCCTCGCTTTTAGGCTTTCAGGCTGAAACGACACGGGGCCTGTAGGCCCTTGTTTTCAGGCTTTTAGGCTGAAACTGACACGGGGCCTGTAGGCCCTTGTTTTCAGGCTTTCAGGCTGAAACTGACACGGGGTCTGTAGGCCCTTGTTTTCAGACTTGCAGGTTGAAACTGACACGGGGCTTGTAGGCCCTTTTGGCCTGAAAACAACACGGGGTCTGTAGGCCCTCGTTTTCAGGTTTTTAGGCTGAAAATGACACGGGGCCTGTAGGCCCTTGTTTTCAGGCTTTCAGGCTGAAACTGACACGGGGCCTGTAGGTTCTTGTTTTCTGGCTTTCAGGCTGAAACTGACACGGGCCCTGTAGGCCCTTGTTTTCAGGCTTTTGGCCTGAAAACAACACGGGGTCTGTAGGCCCCCGTTTTCAGGTTGTCAGGCTGAAAATGACACGGGCTTGAAAATGGCCCGTGCAGCCTGTTGCAGGCGGAGCATGTAACACGAGGCCTATCATGCCCGGATGCTGGCCTGCAGTATCGAATCCAAGAGACGGGCAGATGACGCAGCAACAACAGCGAAGAAGAAGGCAGAGGACGCCGAGCAGGCACATCTGCTGGCAATTGAACAACAACGCCAGCATGACGAGGCAGCAGCAAAGGCTGCCGATGAAGAACGAGTTCAACGTCGTTAGAAGATATTTAGCGGAGAGCAGACTTTGCTCACAATGGCAACGGATTGGTGGGCCGAGGTCGAGAATGGCAAGATGGAGGATAGGGAAAACAAAATGGCTCTACTCCTCTCCGATCTCACGGACCTCCTGACAACATGCATTTCACAACAGGAGGACATCCACAGCCTCGACGACGCGCTGTCTCAAGTCCACGGCTGCCTCCTGTAGCTGGAGCAGCGACCTGTTGTTGCCCCGATGCCAGCTCTTCCAACACCTCTGATCGCCTCGAAGCATTGGAGATGGACGTTGACTCCCTCAAGCATGGCGTGCAGTTACAGCAGACCGCAACGCAGGAGTTGGAGCAACGGATCTGTACTGCCGCCAACATCTCGAGTTCGGAACCGCGCGAGACATCTCCAAAGTTTGACGGGCAGGAAATCTTCTACGACTCGACGAAGACAGATCCGATTCCATGGTTTCACAAGTTCGCGCTCACGCTGCAGCTACACTACGTCAAAGAACACAAGTACCATGCGTACTTATACTCCCGGTCGGGGGGCGCATGCAAGGTATGGTTTGACAATCTCTTGTCCAAGTACGAAGTGGTAGTTGCCGACTTGCAGACCAAGATCAGTTGGGATGATCAGAAGGCGGCGTGACATAAGTGGTTCCAAGTAGAGCCGTCAGAGATCAAGGCAATGGACAAACTTATGGTATCCGAACAAGGCACGCTGCCGAGTGTCGACTGGATCGCCGAGTACCAACACTTGACATCCGTCCCAGACATCGAAATGGGCTTCAAAGCCATCCGCCATTATTTTATATCAAGGTCGTGCCCCACATTAAGCAATGCCTTAACTCACGTGAGGACATCTTGACGACAACGGCGGAACTCTTTGACAAGGCCGCACAGATTATTATTATGAACAAGAAGGCTAAGAACTTGCGTTCGTTTGCGGCAGGCCCGAGAAGAGACCAGCATCGACTGAAAGTGGCCCTGGTCGAGGCGGCAACGCTGTTTGACCAAACTAGCGAGGTTGTGTCTGCTAATAAAGGGGACAGACTCACAGCCGTCAAGGAAGGTGGCCGCTCTGGCAAAGGCCGATGACGCGGCAAGACGAAGACAAACACGGTATCTAGCCCCGGGCCCGGCGCAGCAGGTCTAGCCCCATGGTCCCACTACGGTATCTTCGAGCAAGCATTCAAAGCGCGCATGAGATTTCATTATTGCCTATGGTGCAACATCGATCTCCATGAGACGCTGGCTTGCCCGACGAAAGGCAAGGGCAAATCGGAAAACTGAGCACCGCCGCGAGTGACTCGACAACACTCTCGACGCCTTCGGAACCGGTCGCATCTTGGGTGACCGCCCTTTGTTCCAAGGCACATGCAGAAGTCGATAGCCCTCCTCTTCTGTATTTTTTTTAGGACTATGCTGCTCAGCTCGTTCCTACCCTGGGTACTCAAGCTCAAGGACAAGACGTGTGTGCGACATCTTCTCCGTCCGGCAGCGGCGACTTATCGTCTTCAGGTGGTTCTTCACGGGATTCGGCGCGCGAGTTCAACATAGAGGTATTGGACCCGCTGACATTGGAGGACTTTGCACGACTTCCTCTCCCGGCCACGGGCCGCTTGCCGGGACCGCAATGCGCAACACTATATTTATCTCCACACGTACTTATCCTTCTATGCACCACCAACTTCGCCGACGGATGACAAAGTCGCGGTGGGGGACATCCTTGCGTATGTTACCAAGGTGGTCCGCGAGTTTCGCACGCAGCGGTACGATGACAACAATGCACCGCTCATGTATGTCCGCATCCAGGTTGGGCAAGCGTCCTGCAGCGCTTTGCTGGATAGTGGCGCGTCTCGCAATTTCATGAGCTAAGCCTTTTTGCAAAGGGCTGGCCTTGGTGCACAAATTCGGAGGAAGGCAAACCGATGGCGATCAAGTTGGCGGATGGAAAGACGCAACAACTTATCGACCGTTACATCGAGGACGTACCGGTGTATTTCGCACCTCATGCATGCGAACCGGTGACGTTCGACATTTTGGACACGAACTTTGACATCATTCTGGGAATGCCTTGGCTTGCCAGTGCGGATCACACGGTCAACTTCCATCGGCGGACTCTTAGCGTTCGCGACGCCTTCGACGCCGAAGTGGCGTGTACTATTCCTCTTTCGCACCCTTCGATTCGGTGCCAAGTGGTGACAGCCAAATCATTCTGGGCGACTTGCGCTTACGAGCAGCCCGAGGAAATTGGCCTATATTTCCTACGGACCGTCGCGGTAGCCGACTCTTCACCCACGGACTTGTCTTCGGACCCCCGGGTGGTGCAGTTGCTGGACGAGTTCGCCGACATCTTCGAGTCACCTACCGCCTCTATCGGTGTGGTGTCGGATCGGTCGATCTCTCACGAGATCATTCTCGAGGTCGGTGTCGTGCCGCCGAAAGGTTGCATCTATCGGATGAGCGAGGAAGAGCTTGAGGTCCTTCGCGCACAACTCGATGACTTGTTGGCCAAGGGTTGGATCCGCCCTAGTAGCTCCACATATGGTGCACCTGTTCTCTTCGTCCGGAAGAAGAACAAGGATCTACGTTTATGCCTCGATTACCTCAAGCTCAACGCGCAAACCGTCAAGAATGCGGGGCCTTTTCCTCTCATCGACGATCTTCTTGAGCGATTGGGCGGCGCAAAATATTTCTCTAAGTTGGATTTGAAGTCGGGATATCATCAAATCTCGATCCGGCCGGACGATCGCTACAAATCCATGTTCAAGACGAGGTGCGGGCATTTTGAGTGGGTGGTCATGCCTTTTGGCCTCACCAACGCGCCGGCGACCTTTCAAGCGGCAATGGCCAACGAGTTTCGTGCAATGTTGGACCGGTTCGTGCTGGTCTACGTAGACGATATTCTCGTCTATAGCCGGACATTGGAGGATCATCTTGGACATCTTCGACGAGTGTTGGAGACGCTCTGCCACGCCAAGTACAAGACCAACCGCAACAAGTGTGAATTTGTCCGGCAAAAGTTGGGAATACTTGGACCATTTTGTCACACCGGAGGGCATCAGTCCGCTATTGGACAAGATTCAAACCATCCAAGAGTGGGCGGAGCCACGAAACGTCATGGATGTCCGCTCGTTCCGTGGCCTCGTCGGCTACTACCATCGTTTTATCAAGGGCTACTTGAAGATCGCGGCCCACTTGACCAAGCTTCAATGCGAGGATCGACCGTTTGACTTCGGCGAGGATGCGCGAGAATCATTTTTGGCTCTCAAAGCCGCACTATTATCTGCGGAGGTCTTGTGCATATACAACCCGCTTTTTCCTATGCGCGTCACTACGGATGCATTCGACTATGGCATTGGTGTCGTCCTCGAGCAACACGATGGCGTGGACTGGCACCCAGTCGAGTATTTCAGCAAGGAAGTGTCGATCGTGCACTCCATTGGCGATGCACGCAAGAAGGAGTTCCTCGCCTTTGTCCACACGCTCAAGCGGTGGCGGCACTTCCTTCTTGGTCGAAGCCAATTCCGATGGGTGACGGACAACAATCCGTTGGTCTTTTACAAGACCCAAGACACCGTCAACAGCACCATCACTCGATGGATGACTTTCATCGACCAATTCGACTTCTTTCTCGATCACATTCCGGGGAAATTGGACCGTTTTGTGGATGCTCTTTCACGACGTTCGGATCATTGTACTGCAGTCTTCTCAACCTTCGAGATCGACGACGACCTGCGGAACAACTTCATCCGCGGCTACCAAACCGACCCCGAGTTTCGCGACAAGTACGCGAATTGCTCCTCTCCTAATCTGGCGCCTTCTCACTACCGGATCCAAGAGGGGTACTTGCTTGTCCACACACGGGGGAAGGACCTTTGTGTACCGAGTGATCCTCACTTGAGTACACGGCTTCTTGGCGAGTTCCACGATGCTTCTGCCATCGGACACTTTGGAATCAATCACACGATTGGATGACTTCGCGAGCGATTTTGGTGGCCCGACCTTCTCGGCGACGTCACACGCTATTGCGAGTCATGCGAGGTTTGCCGACGCTGCAGATCCCGCAACCATCGTCCGTACGGCGAGCTACGACGATTACCGGTCCCTTTGAGGCGAAGGAAAGTGATTGCCATGAACATTACCGGCCCGTTCCCCAAGCACAAGACCGGTGTGGATGGGATTCTCACGGTGGTCGACCGACTCACCAAGTTCGCCATGCTTTTGCCTTACCGCTATCATGCCAAGGCACCAGAGTTGGCCGAGGTTCTCTACGCCGGTTGGATTCGAACCAAGGGTTACCCCAAGGAAATCGTCTGCGCCCGTGACACTCGGTTCATGTTCGGTTTTTGGTTGGCGCTCATCAAGCGATGGGGCTCATCTCTGAAGTCCAGTTCAGCTTGCCACCCTCAGACCGATGGTCAAATGGAGAGGGCGCACTTGACCGCGCAGGTTCTCCTTCGCACTCTCATCAGTCCTGACCAGAAGGATTGGGTTGAGCGGCTGCCGGATGTCGAGTTGGCCTACAACTCCTCCATCCACCCGGCTATCGGGATGTCGCCCTTCGAGTTTGAGCACGGCTCGCCGGTTACTTCGCCGTTGGACACCATCACTCCACGAACGGCCGAGAGCGACGACCATCTTCTTTTCTTGCGTCGGATGCAAGAGCTACTTGTCAAGGCACGTGACCAGATGGCAAAGACGCAGCAACGCATAAGCCAACAGGCCAATCAGCAGCGTCTTCCTTGCCCATTTCGCCTGGCGATCTCGTTTGGGTCTCCGCCGTCGAATTCAGCCTTGAACAAGATATCTCTCGCAAGCTTCTCCCGAAATGGATGGGGCCTTGGCCGATCGTGGCCCCCGCTGGGGACGCACCCGAGGGACCTTCCTTCACAATTCAGGTGCCCGCCCACTTGCCCGTCCACCCAGTCTTTCATTGCTCCAGGTTGGCTCTTTACACGCCAGGGGAACATGACGATTTTCCTTGGAGACGTTCGCAAGACCCACCTTCTATGAACGACTTTCAGGAGGTCGGCGACATCATCTCCCAGCAACGCTACGACAACAGGCCGACCGAGTACTTGGTACATTTTGCGTACTGCACACACCGAGCTAACCGTTGGTTGACCCGTGCGAAACTTCAAGCAACAACTCCAGATGTTCTCGCACGCTACGAACGAAAGATGCAAGGCAAGCCGGTCTCTTCGGCTCCATGTCGCACCCGCATCCAGGTTCCACCTTCAGATCGTCAACTTCGCCCTCGCCCCGGCTTGACTTGATAAAGAGGGGGGGGTGTTACATGGTGCACCTGCACATGTGGGTCATTTTTCACGCCCTGCGTCCCTCCGGCTGAAAGCGTGAAATTCAGGCTGAAAGCCTGGAAAGCAGGGCCTACAGACCCCGTGTTTATTCAGTCCGAAAGCTTGAAAAATAGGGGCCTATAGACCCTGTGTTGGTTCAGACTAAAATGGGCAGTAGCCTTTTGTAGCCTGAAACGAAGGGCCATTTTCGGTCTGTCATCAGACCGATCTGCCCTGAAACTCAGGCACCGAACCAGGGTTTTAGGAACAGGCTAATTTTGGCCTGTTCCCACGACAGCTGCAGCGCCAGCCCCTGGCTCAGTTCGGCAGTGGCAAGAGCAGCCTCTTGGACTGCCCGCCCTGCAACTGCAGGCAATCGGAGGCAGTCAGGAGGCATGCCGAGGTAGGACATAGGGACTTCCCATGCACTTCACGGGTAGGCAGGAGGCAGTCAGTAGTCTTCAGGATTCGGCAGCAACACTCTGGAGGAGCGCTGCAGTAGTAGTAGTAGCGTTAGCCTTAGTCTTCAGCGCTGGGCGCCAGCAGCGTTAGTAGTAGTCTTCTGCGCTGGGCGCCATAGCTAGAGCAGCACTAGAGAGAGAGAGATTGGGCGGAGACCAGCGATACTTACCTGCAGCGCCGTTGCTCCAGCTTCGTCTTCGAGCTACCTGCAGCATAGCGCCATCTTCACATGTTAGTACTTGGCATACAAGAGAGAGAGAGAGAGAGAGAGAGAGAGAGAGAGAGAGAGAGAGAGAGAGAGAGAGAGAGAGAGAGAGAGAGAGAG